ACCACGCCGATGACGTCCTTCCGGACACCTAGTCCTTCGAAAGGTATCGACAGCTTCCAAGGTGATAAAACAGCTGAGTCTGCGTTGAGCACACCTCAGATCAGCCGTGAGATATATCGAGCTGCTCACGAGCAGAACGGAACTATACCTTCTATTGCTGGGCTCTCCCCGACCAAGCATTCACCACCTCGCCCCATCGACTCTGCCAGCTCGAATAGATACAAGGCTGCTACTCCAATACTTCCTCCGGTTGCACTATCACCCTCTCCTCAACATCAGATTTTGACTCCGCCAATCAAACCATCGGAGCCACCAAGACCGTTTGAAAACCGATGAACGCTCCAAACACGGGGATTTAATAAGGCATGTGCCCTGGTCAACGCCACGGCTGTGTTAGGAAGTTCTCTAAACCATGTTCAGGCATGACATGAAACTTATCCCTAAGCCATCTCCAACAGAAATACAAACACAACCAATACCATGATGGTATTAACGAGAAGACGCTGAGTCCTTTTCTCTCATTGGAGAGGGATAGAGCTATTCAGAACAATTGCCTGTCATGGGGCCTTGAATGAGATGATGGCACAGGCAGGTTGAATCACACTTTCCCCCATCTGTAAGGACTCTATAATCGTCCCCAGATTAAACTAGGCAAGTGGTCGACCAACAAAATTTGTGATCTGAGGCACTGCAGCAACGCGAGACGCGAATGGCCGAACCTATGCCGAAAATAGGGTGTCTGTCAACATTGCCCGGCGTGATGAAAATGGTGGTCAGGAACAAATGGCCAAAGCTTCGAATAGAAGCATGTTTCTCTTTTTGACGCCAGGACGAAATAGTCTTAAAGGCAGAGCTGATCTGCCAAAACAGAACCAACAGGCCAGGCTGGTACAGTGTTAGATCAGGCTGGGCAATTATGGATTATTTGGTTGGTTGGTTGTTCGGCTACCGCGACACATCAAACAGACGCTGCCAGCACAACTGCGTGTGACCGCTTGGTCCCAGTTATCCGGCACTTGAAGCAAACATGCTACAGCACTCCACATTAACAAGCCTGGTAGGGCATGGCAGGGCAAGACTGCTAATGGAAGCAAAGCAAGACAGTGGTGGACAGGAGCTGTTGGAGTAGCAGGATTGCGAGACACCTTTGGTTATAAGTAAGAGAATATGACGGATAATAGATCAAGATCGATTCACCAAACAAAAGAAAGTCAACAACGTCTCAAGTTGGGATGGTTGATGACACCCAGAAGGGCCGGATGCGCACGTCAAAGGAATGCGCCGTGGCTGGACTAGCGGCATGCGAATAAGGCGGCGCAGGGAAGCACAATCAAAAGTATGGCATTTTGTTTCTATTGAATGGATTGCGGCTGGACGCCAAGCGGCCCCATCTCTTAAGCTCAGGGCTTCTATTCTACTGTGCTTCACCATGTTGGTCCGTGTACAGTGTGGGTGGCGGAGAGTGGAGGATACCGGCCAACGACACATGTAAATGCAGCTTGGAGAGGTCTACCACTCTGGTAACGGTCCGCATTGCGGTCTGTTTCCCAACAGGACAGTCGTCTGCTCCGGTTCCTTTGAGCTTCAGAGCATCAGGTAGTTGCTTGTCTATTTGTGGGTATGGTCCTGGCGTTGTAGACATATCTCTGGTATCAGAATGTCCCAAGCGCATACAAAACCACTCGTGGCGGCTCAAAGAAATCCGACAAAGACGCCCTTGCTGAGTGCTCTACCTTCAGGCCGCTTAATACCAACATAGCTACTATCAAAAGATCAGACTTTATCTCTTCATCTACATTGTGCAACTTACAAAGTCCACTTGCCGTTGTTCACTACAGTACCTGTGTTGTTCCATTGGCTCCATCACCATCAACACCAACAACACAAGACTCTTTCTATCCTTGCGTCCTATTGCTAAAATCAATACCCAAGGGCGGTGGAAGACACGCGACATGCCGCAACAGATACTTCCAACTCCGCCATCTTCTTCTGACGGCTTCTCTCAACAACCAGTGGCCATGGAGTCACATACTTCGCATCCTCAAGGCCCTATGAGCCCAGAACAAAGCTTTGCCGGCTACTCTTACTCAACTCGATACTCTACTCCTGTTCGTGACGACGACTCTTCTGTGTATGAGCCATCAACTGTCTATTCTCAAAGAAGCGATGTTTCGTTTGTAAGTCAAACAGGCCCACATTGGCTGCCATCATAGCTAACCTGCGATACTAGCAAGGCTATGCTGGAGGTCTAGGTATCACAAGTAACCCTTATGGTCCTTTGCCCGATGAGATCGGCTACAATGTAGGTATCACGAGAGCACATGAAGAGCCAATAGCTGAGCCAACAAAGCAGAACCATCTCCCGTACACTCCGGAAGCGTCACCTTCAGCGCCTTGCTCATCTAGCGATGCAATTACTACTCGCAGTGGTCTCAATATCGCTAAGAAATCGCTTACCACACGATCACCAGCAGTGAAAACTGGTCGAGTTCAGAAGAGAAGCCGTGCAGAGAAATCCAAGAATGCCACTAACATGCTTTCAAAACCGCTTTCCGAAGCTGCTAGAGACTTTCCCGATATTCACGTTGCTGACATCGAGGCCTTTGTCAGTCGGCCCACTGAAGAGAGACTATCGGAAACTTCGCGTAACAAAAAAGCTGGTCAGATCAAACGCCCCATGAATGCTTTTATGCTATACCGAAAGGCGTACCAGGAAGTCGCTAAGACGCAATGTTCTCAGAACAACCACCAGCATGTCTCAAAAGTCTGCGGTGCCGCATGGGTTTTGGAGCCAGCGCAAATCAAGGAGAATTTTGACCAATGGGCCAGAATAGAGCGTGTGAACCATCAGCGCGCACATCCGGGATACAAGTTCACACCCTCGAAGCCACGAAAGACCAAACGTGATGGGGATGGCAATGACGACTATTCAGACAACGACTCAGACTGGAACGCCGGACGTGCCCGGAAGTCCAGATTCCGCCATGCTACACGACTAAGCGAGACACCAGTCGCGTACGATGCGGCGGGTAATGCGATCGGAGAGCCAGCCGTGCCATCTTACCATGACATGTATGCTTACCCGGCTCTAGGTCGGCCTCATTCACTGCCATACGATGATATCGCACCTAGCTCCTTTGATATGGGCATTCGTCAGTATAATGGACTCAATATCAACAGCGAAGTAATAAGCAGAACCCCTTCTCCTGGTGCCATCGACTACCCTGTACATGGGCTTGATGGATTCGCCAACTACTACGGGCCGCCTGGATCAAGTTTTGACAATGCCGCTCCCCATCTCTTTGGACCTGCGCAGTACGATGTTTATGATGGGATCCCTGCCAGCGTCCCTTTTGACCAAGAAGGCTGGATGTCTCACATGGAAAGTGGTCAAGACCTGATGCCAGTCATGGGGGGCTACGAAGACACCACAGCACAAGACGTGTACCTGAAGGGAAGCAAGGATGATTGGAAAGTCGAAATCATGGACGAGCCTGGTCACTTCGAGGATTGGTATGCACAGACCGAGCAGGGGCTCCAGTGATGATAGGCATCTTGATGTCGCCATGTAATTGTAGCAATTCCTTGCGTGTTTTACTATTTGGGAGCATCATACATTGGACCGAGCGTTTGATTTAGAACTGGTTTTCCTTTGGGGTACATATTTTAAACAAGAATCGGTAGGGTTTTGGCAAACTCCATGACTGGGATTTTCTCATCTCAAGGCGTACTGTATGTAATTCTAATCATTCTGTCTTTGAAAGCTAAACCGTCTATTGTGTGTGTGTGGGTGGAGAATGGCGTAGGCTTAGTCATTGGATGCTACCTAGGTACCTTAGGACCCATGTCTACCTTGCCTGCATCTAGAAACCGCGACTTGTCCCCAAGACGACATTCCATCCTCATCGCAACTGTATCCAAGCTGCCTGCGACACATGATGACTTGGATCTCTAAAACAGTGACTGTTACTGGTCTAGTCCTATTAGCACATGCGTAAGCCCGGCAATTCTTGGTGTCTTCACAGGAAACTGACAATCACTCCAGTTGCTACTCCGCGCAAGAGCACTCCGTCATTTCGTCAACAGCGGTGCATCATGGCCAACCGCAGCCGCTCGCAACACACTCTCTCCCAATCGACATATCGATCGAAGCACTGGTAGCGACTTTGATTATTGTCCTTGGCTTGGTTCTGGGAACTCCAAAGCTTCGACCAATTAAGTGGCACGAGTGGGCTGGCAAGATTGAGCGCGAAGGAGAGGCTGGTTTCCAAACAGGAAGTGGCGAGGTGGAAAAGGACTATCGAGGAAACCCTTTCAGTGTGCTTGAGACGAGGCCAGGTTTCATTGACATCCGCAAGCAGCGCCGTGAGTTCACGAGCTGGGTCAAGGCTGACGAGAAGTGAGGACAAGAGCTCAGACACTTAAGATGGGCGACATCACACCCTTATCGATTTGACGGGGTTCTATCTTATCAACACGAAGGGCTGTTGGAGGCATACTCCTGGCGTGCTCAGGAGTATTTGCGACTCAACAGGAATGACGAGCGACCAGCCTCCGGAACCAAATAGAATCTATTCATATACCTGCATGACTACGTTCAATACTGTATTAGCTAGGTAAGGTAGTTGCGCCGGTTGGAACCATACTAGGCACGTTGGCACTTGCCAGAAATACCTTAGTACCTAAGTGCCTTAGGTAGGAACATTCATGAATCTCCTTGTATTAGGTAGAATTTGCGATCGAGCTCCTTTCACACGTGTATCCTTCCTTCCCATGATGGCAAAGGCCAAGGAAACCTCCAACGCTATAGGAGATAACTAAAGCAGTAAAAGGCTCCTGCCCTGACTCACATAGACGACTAGAGAAGGTGACACCCGTCCAGATCTCTCATCTTGCCTTTGGATGCCTGCTAATTGCGCGGTGGTAAGGCCAACCTTCTGACTCCACGCATATTCCTTCTGGTCTTTCGGCAACAAGTTTATTAAATTCACTCAGCAAATATGCCCAGGACGCCAGGCTCGAGTGCTTCTAGCTCCAGTCGTCGTGGCCGAGGTCGAGGAGGTCGAGGATGGAGGGGCCGCACTTACAACCGTGGGAACAGTGGTGGTTTGTCCTCCAGAGGTGGCTCAACTCGGCCACGAGCTCGTAATCCCTCTTCATCGATACGCTACAGTTCTGCTTCTCGAAACCACGCACAGTATTCAGATTCACAAGAACCGCAGACACCCAATGCCGACACTCGTGCTCGAAGCAGCAGTGAGCCCATTCAACATGAAGTTGTCATGGCCATCGACCTCAGGGATAATTGTACCATTGGGTGCGCATATTTTTCAACTACTGACGGGATTCTGCATGTATCTGAGGACATTGCTACGGCTTCACTTGACATTGCGGAGCAATTCCTTATCCACATCCAACCAACCAGTCTTCTTGTATCTGCAAGAGCACCTGCCAGTTTCCGGGACCAGCTGGAGAAGATCACTGCGTCAGAAGGTCAGCGAAAATATATTCATCTTTCGATTCGTCTGATGAGAAACTGACGAGAGGCATGCATAGGTGCCTCAAAAGGAGTTATTTTCCGCGGCTTGCAGTCGTCAGAGTTCTCAATCGAAACTGCACACGAACGACTTGTCAGCCTCGATTCACAAGCCTTATCTGCTACTGGTATTATATTCTCCACAGGGATTGAGGAGGATGGAAGTGAAGAATCCATACTCGGTCTTTCTCAACCCGAGTCGCAGGCATTCCGTCAACTTCGCTATGGAGGCTGCATAAACATGAATAGCCAGGTATCAGTAAGGGTACCCCTCTACTATTGTGATACAGATATTGATGTGATTTAGGTAGGATGTGCTGGTGCCTTACTTGGCGATGTTCTTCGTCGACGATCCGCTGGTTTTCTCCCTGATGGGCAAGTTGCTGGAGTTCTCTTTCGTGTTGTTGACATCCGCATGTTTTCCCTTAATACCTACATGTATGTCAGCACTGACGCTCTCTTGTCACTGCAAATTCTGCAGACCGAATTGCACCCCAACAGCCAAGCGTGGGGACCAGATGCGAACAAGAGCAATTCGAAAGAAAGTCTTTCTGTATATGGACTGTTCCATCACCTGGCTTGTACCCCTCAAGGTCGTACACAACTACGTCAACTCTTCCTTCGACCGCTGTTGGACCTCGGCATCATTTCGGAGAGGCAGAGAACCATCACAGTATTGCTTCAACCAGACAACGCTGACAAACTTGCACAATTGACTTCGACCCTACGCAAGATTCGAAACATGCGTACCACTTTAGCGCAGCTGCGAAAAGGCATTGAGTTTCCCTCTGCTGGTCAATCTTTCGATAGGGGCGTATGGGCAACAATCCAGAAGTTCACAGCCCAAGCTCTGACTCTCAGAGAAATTATAGGCTTGTTTAATGGAGGCTCTGATATAGTAATCTTCAAGAAAGTAAGGAGCTGCTACAGCAAGTGACCTGACGGTTCAAGCTAATGGTATCGACTAAGCTCATTCATACCCTCGAACCGGCCAGCTTGGTAGTTGTTGGAGACATGATCAACAAAACAATCGATTTTGAACAGTCCAAGGCACGCCACAGATCCTCCGTCAGAACTGGAATAGATACTCAACTTGACGAACTAAAAAGACGGTATGACGGGATGGACAGCTTCCTGACAGAAGTTGTCAACCAACTCAATAGGGAGTTGCCACAATGGGCACGTAAATATGTTCGATCCTGCATCTTTCTGCCACAAATTGGTTTTCTCACAGTGGTGGAATCAAATCGCCTCACAGGTAACGGGCATTATGAAGGAGAGGGGACAGCTGTTGGGGACTGGGAAAAGTTGTTTACTGCGGACGGTGCAGTGTGCTACAAAAACAGCTACATGAGAGAGTTAGACGAGGAATACGGAGACATGTATTGCCAGATTGGAGGTAAGTTTGTTGTCAGTAGTGCTTTGAAGGCTTCAACTCACACCAGGCAGATCGGGAGGTGGAGATTATACATGATCTTGCAGGTAAAGTTTTGGAGCACGAGGAGCCTCTGTTGCTTGCCTCGGACATGTGTGGTGAGTTTGATGCGATACTTGCCCTTGCGCTTGGTGCCGAAAAGTACGATTGGCATGCACCACAAATGGTGGAAGCAAGCATTATCCACATCGAGGAAGGCCGCCATCCTCTGCAAGAACTTGTTGTGCCAGCCTTTATCCCAAATCCCTGCCATCTCTTTACAGGGACATCAACTGTAACGGAGGCCCAAGATGGCTCGCCTCAGGCTCTGGTCCTGACTGGGCCAAATCACTCTGGAAAGAGCGTGTATCTGAAACAAACAGCTATAATTGTGTATCTGGCCCACATCGGAAGTTTTGTACCGGCAGTTCAGGCAACAATCGGGCTCACAGAAAGCATCTTGACTTGCATATCTCCCAGGGAAAGCATGTCTGGAGGCGAGAGCGCTTTTGCAAGAGACATGAAACAAGCTGCGCTATCAATGAAATCATCAACACCCAGAAGCCTCGTCTTGGTAGATGAGTTCGGGAAAGGGACCAATGGAGATGACGGTGCCGGATTGCTGGCCGCGCTACTGGACTACTACCTATCTCTCGGACCCGAGTGCCCTCGACTACTTGCTGCCACGCACTTTCATGAAGTTTTCGAGTGTGGGTATTTGGAAAACCACAATGGATTACGTATTGCGCACATGAACGTCAGAATGGACTGGAATGCGTCAGTTGTGGATGATCAAGTGACCTTTCTCTTCAACCTTGAATATGGTCATAGCACGTCAAGTTTTGGAGGCAGATGTGCAGCGTTGAATGGAGTACCAAGCGCAGTGGTTGAACGCGCCGAAAACATTTCAAAGCTGCTGGCCCGAAACGAAGACCTGAGTGCGGTTTGTGCCCGCCTTTCTCAAGCAGAGGAAGTCCAGCTTGGTAAGGCAGAGATGACTGCGCGGCTGTTTCTAAGTGAGACCTTCGGCGACCAAGATGAGGCCAACATGAACGGTGAAGAACATACGAGAGGTTCTATTATTGAGGTCTTGGAGGATATACTATCACCTAATATTTGAGCAGCTGTTGCCGAGTCGATATGAGATCGAACTAAACGAGGGGGCAATTCGCGAGTGCTATGAGACGGCTACGGCTGAAATCTTTTCTTCACTTCTTCGTCATGATTCCATCGAGGTCTTTGCCGTTACGTGTATACTACATCTATCAACCCTCATTAGTAAAGCCTATTACTGCATCTAGAGCCTCATTGAACTTGCTACCCGATGATTGAAGGGCATTGGAAGGTTGTCTTGGTGAGTGAGTTGCTGCATAACCATGAATTTTAGGTAGGGACTGTCGAGCCTTTTCCTATAGCTTCACGGGATCCTTTAAAATCGTACAGATTCCCACTGTGAAGCTCCTGGGGGCTATGTTGCATTTTCAGTGAGGCTTGGGAATTGTTAAATAATGAAGCAAAGATATCGCCAGGCAAATGCCCTCAAAGCCAAGATTGAAAGGATTTCAGGGAATACATGGTGAAGGATGAAAAGTGGCAAACCCGACACAGGACTGAGTGGTCATCGGAGTCAATATATGTTGCTGTACTATTCTATATACAAAACCAAAAACATGCATACATTCCACATCAAGCGCCCCTCAAGTCTTTCAGCATAAGCCGATTGTAGATCTTATATATGATGTGATAAGCAGACTTCATAGTATCAAGCCCTAACAACGTAGGCTGTTCATAAAATGCGTCGTAACTGCAGTCATTCGCTCTGATAAGCGCAAAAATCCTTTTAAGCAACGAGGCAAGCACATGTCTTCCTCAGCAGCTGTAACAGGGCGTTAACTCAAACCTGGTACACTAGCACCAGCGATCATGCCCACGATCGTCGTATCAAGTTGTATATCAGCTTGTTTGGCACCTAATTAAATCAGGGCGTTGAGTATGGCAATGCCCGCCCCAAAAACCATAAAGCACAAGGCAAGTCTGTTGGAGGATGAAGCATCGTTCCCGTAATCCGAGCAGTCATCACTGGAAACGTTTCTGCAAGCACGGGAGCTCAGACTAGAGCAGACGGCGGTTGCTGATGACGAACCCAGAGCCTGTCCACCAGCCTGAACTGTTGTACCTCCGCCACCAGGTACAACTATAGTGACACCATACTGGGCTCCGTCTCCGAGGAAATTAACACACTGATCGTAGTTTTCTTCGCAGGCATCGACGGCCGAGGTGCATGCAGCTTCGTTTTTAAATGTCGTGGCAGCGTAGGGGAAGGCGAAATATGAGTTCGGGACGTAGGATGCTTCAGCGGTTGGTTCGCCAGTGGCCGAGGCTGGAGCTGTACCTGTGCAGACGGCGCTTGGCATCGTTAGTAGTCAATTCGTTCGTCGAAAAAAGGAATCGAAGTTCTGAGCACTCACCCAGATGGACAGCAAGCCGGTTCATCGTCGGCGTCCACGGCACACGTTTGGCCGTTTTGGCAGCATATGTCGCTAAATCTCTCGCCAAGCTCCTCAGAGCATCGGAATGTGTTCGCTGGGCATGAATCGTCCCGTCTGAAGATGACAGATGCAGGCGGAATGTAGTAGGCTGGGGCGTATACTGCCGTTGCTATTGCTTCTACCTGAGGAATGTTCTGAGCAGATGTGGAAACTGCAACGAGGCCGAGCCAGATGCAACTATAACTGAGCATGATGATGGTTGAGAGCAAACGAATGAGAGATGGTTGGGTTCAGCTCCGAGAACGAGGCTAAGACGTCAAGACGTTCTACTGCAGGTCGTTAAAGCATACGAGGAGCAGTGAATGTTGGTTAGATTCGTAAGTAAAAGAAAGCCCCAAAGAGATCCTCGTCCGTGTTCTCTCTCTTTTTTTCTCCTTTCCCCGGCCCTCGTCTATGCTTCCTTGTCAGCTTCCAGGTCTAGCCTCCAAGTCAGGGACCTAAGACGATTCCAGTGGGGTCGAAAAGGCTTAGCCCGTAACGTCGCAAGTACAAGATTGTGTAGGTACTCCGTAGTGAGCAGACCATTCAGCTTGTTTCTTTGGGTAACAACATGACAGGCAATCCAATCAGCTCAGCGTACCTAGGCTAGGCGTGGGATGATGTCATGGGTCTCTGTTGACTGAGCAACCCATGGCACCAAGCTAAAATCGACTCGATCAATCAAGTTCACAATACCTTACTTACCTAGGCAGGTACCCATTGTGTCAAAGTCAATGTTCATACACATACATTATATCCCAAGTATGATCGTTACTGTTGCTCAAAATGTCTGAGATCGACCTGTAACTCGATTCTTCAAAACCCTCGGACATGACCCAAAATCTGTCGCAGCCGATCCAGTGCCTTTGTCCGAGGCACAGCATCAAGACCTTGATTCTTAACTTCCACGACTTCTCTTCGAGCTTCAGCTATCAGAGGTTCCAAACCCCCCCAGACATACTCTGTATACCCATTTAACACCTTGTCCCATTGATCAAGGTAGCTATTCCTCACTTCGTCGGCACTCGTTGTACCAAAGTGAAGCTGCCGTTCAAAATCTGCTTCAGGTCCTGCCTGATCAAGAAACTCGGGGTTAAAGTTGAGTAAATCATCCCAGCGAAAGCCAGAGAACGCCGAACCTGCAGTGAAAAGGGCTTCTCTCAGCTTGGTAGCCGCCTCTGGGGTAAGGCCCTCATCTACGGCGTCCGGATCATGAGCTCCGAGCAAAACGCCATCAAGTGTCCCAGATGAATCATCAAGTAGGTTGACTACAGCAGCGCCATCCATCTTCTCTTGCTCCAGAATAGCGCTTGGCGTAGATGGTACGTGGTGAGTTTGGTTTGGGAGCCTCCCATGTTGACTGGCATCCTCAACCTCTAACTTGGAGTCGGCACTGTAGAAGGCGTCAAATGCTTCCGCCGATGCACCAGAAACAAAATTTGCCTGGGAGCGTAACGATTCACCAGGGGCTGTTGAGCGCAACCTGTGCGATGATGCTTCGCCCGTACTAGATGAGTTTATCCCAGTAATGCTGCTGCCACTGGCGCTAGCTTTTCCATCTGGTCTCTGGCCACTTATATCTGGACCTGTTCCGAAAGCATGGACAGCAAGTCTGCCAGAAGCCTTAAGTCTACTGGCGATGGATTCAGGCTTTCCAGAATCGTTATCTGTGGCCTTGCCTTTCGACTTTGCAGATTCCTCGTTTTGTTGTGGTGCTTTCGGTTGTTGTCTGTTTTCGTTGTCCATGGCTGTCTACCTATATCAGCCAAGGAGCATGCACAGCTATCGCTCCAGCAGCAGAGGCAATGAGTTGAGTGTCTTGTGGAATAAGTCGAGGGAAGAGAGCTTGATAGAAAAGTTCTGGAAAACTGATGATGGGCATCGGTTCATTCGCTGTAGACGTCTAGGATATGATTAAACTATAAAATAGCCGCGATGAAGTTAAACCGGAGGGCACATGTCAAAACCGCTCCGGGCGGGTGAGCGGGTGCCGATCGGCCTGGAGCTTGGCACCGGATTTCCGAGAAGGGTTAATAATCCGATAATGCCTGATATCGCTCGTGAGTCGATACTGGAACGACTCTGACGAGTATAATTGAGTCAAGAAGCTTACGCAGGTAAGGTACTTACCTAGTCAGTTGTTCATTATAAGATGAGATCCAGATGAAGCGCGCTCTATCCACTGCCGCTGCCTACTGTCTATCTGAATGCCTACCTACCTCCATACCTACTAGGTATGGGGGTCAAGTCATCCAGGGCTACCCCGCTGTTACATCAAACTTGATCTAATATATGATCAAGGTAGATGTAAGCTGCGCAGAAGTGCCCAACATAATGGCCTGTTAGTGAGGCTGATCTATCTTACAGCCTCACTTTGAAAAAGCCGATTGCCTAGGCAGCTCTAGCTCTCGTCGCTAGCAGAGCTTGCAGCTATATATATCCCTGATATATGCAGAAGTCTGTCAAGATGGCTTCCAAGGGTTGAGAGCTGTTGGGGTCACTAGGTAGGCAACCCCTCACAAGGAGAAGCAGCCCACACAGGCACATTAAGTCATCGATCTTAGTATACTGATGGCGTCTAGCCTTGAGGCACGGCCTATTGTAGGTAGGCAATGAAGCCTTGGAGCTATGTTGTGGCTTCTGGACCTAAGTGCCAACTCAGCTCTGAGCTGTTGCTTAACTCTTACTGGAGGTCCAGTCTCTATCGGATAATCATCAGCGTAGGGGAGCCTGACATGAAAATAAACCCAAACCTGAGGGATCCACCATAAACTGTCTAGACTGTCCTATCCCATCGGTCATCCAGCCAAGCCCAATCCAGGCCCGGCCAGCCCAAACCGAAATCGAACTGGATCAGATCAAAGCAGCTTGACTTTCGTTTCTGCTCCATGCGTCACTGCCCGTCCCAACTTGTTCTTGATATATGTTCTCGACACAAAGAAGCCGTCTTGTCTGCAACGAAACCTTGCTGTACGTAAATACCACGAAACTCGATATATTACAGACATAACAATACCCACCACAGCTAAGCATAGCTCAGCTGTCTCAAGCTGTCTTTTTCTACTTTAGTAGGTGCCTTGCCCACTACATACAGTAGCCAGGTCTTGTGCCTCCAGCCCAGCGCAGTGCAGTACAGTTAGTACCTACTAACCTACTAGGCAGCTCACCAATCTACCAACCTACTACCTAGGTACCTAGGCACCTAGGCACAACGCTGTGCAGCTCAGCACAGACTTCAGAGCGCTCTCCCTCCACTCGCTGTCTCCTCCCTCATCTCTCTGGCCCGCCCCTCCGTTGCTTCTTCTCCTCGCCCACATCCACATCCACATTCACGACCAAACCAAAGCAGACCAGTCGTCTACCTCCACCACAACCACCATTACCACCCGACCATTATTCTTCAGCCTTGGACGCCTGCCCGCCTCCTAACATCATTCAGCCCTCCGCCGTCCTGCCTTCGATATCCCTTCCTGCCGCCGGACAGGATAATTTTGGACGACGTCTATAGATCACGGCGGCATATCTTGGTAGACCCCACTGCGGCGCCGACAAAAGACGATATCCAGAAACGACACCACCGCCCATCCACTCA